GTGAATAAAAAGGAAATATGATGTGAAATTAGCCTGCAAAATTTGCATTCACAATCCAATTTTTGCATTTCAGTAACTTTGTACTTTTAAATACGAGTTTGAGAAAGTAAGGCAACGATATATACCTTTAAAAGTAGTGGTAAGTACTGTAGAGCTCCTTGTGAAAGAGTTCGTCCAGGGAAATAATGCCACATTGCCTATTTCTGCCGCCTAGCAGTAATGTTAGCATTAAGTTAGGGTGGTGGTGAAATTACAGACACATGGGACTTGCCAACTTATGTCTCAGGGTGTCGGGCGCAGTGGCAGTGCCCCTCAGATCTTTGTAATTTAAAGCTCTGAATAGCACTGCAATTGTTACGGACAGGCGTGTCCCTTACCAGTAGAGGCGCAAGATTTCATAGTCCCGTCGCTTGATATCACAAAAAAAATAGAAAAACTCCCAGTGGAAAAGCTGGTGCCACCATGTATCTGTGACTTAATTTCTCAGTTATGAAATTTATAGCTATGCCTTTCGCTGAAGGAAAACATGATGTGAAAACTTGTATGTCTAATATCCAAGTATTGTGAACCGTCACAATTCTTGGACCAGGATAGCAAACAAAGGCCTAAAACTTTCTCCTTCAGCACCGGAATATACTAGACATATTTGCGCAAATGAAACTCTAGGATTAATTACGCCACATCAGTACTCTAACAGAAGCGGTAATTATTTGGACTAACTTATGCAGTAACTTCAATATGAAAACAAGAAAGTGACATACTACTTTATGATATTCTTTAACCATTTGAAAACGATTGCATACACAAAAAACCGTGCACCTACTACGTAACCTATCCAATAGGCAAAACGTCACATTTTGCAATAATTTATACCACACAGTAACCTTCGCTGCATACATTCAGTATCACTTGGTAGAAAACCTTGCACGCAAACACCTAGTTCATGAGCTGTATACAAATTCGGTACTATAGATTAGCTTGCGGCTTCGAATCAAATTAGGTACTTTGGTCTTTCCTCGCACATTATTCTCCGGATCAAGCTAATTCTACAACTAACGATGTGCTCTAACACGGATAGATAAGGTTCATTCTTATCATCACCGATCAACCAGATGCGGCAAAAATATCGCGCTTATATTTTAAAATGTTTAGCTTCTATTATTGTTCTTGAGTATCGAACTTGAAATAGAAAATGGATGTTTTAAATCAGAATGAACAACGTTTTTGTTTGACACCTGACATTGTATCTGATTTTCATTCAAAATGCCCGGTGTCGATCGAAGCGATATACCGACATATTTGCTATAAGCAATACTGCATATATACACGATCAGGTTAAGGCATCTTCGCGCATCAACACGATTTATAATGTACTAATGTCTACATTACTCATACTTATATTATACTTACCCGTATTGACACAGAAGTGCATTTATAAATATAAATACTACATCACACATCACTATTGCTAGACTTTTCTTTTAATCTACTCATACCCCTGGAAGAAAGGCATAACTTATTTTTTACCACTTTTCAGGACTATTCTATTTAACTTATTTTGAAGCGTAACTAAAAACGCTTTTTTGGATTGAAGGTCAAACTCCTTGTTTTTGGAATCATTTTTTTTTTCACATTTGTTTTCAGTTAGTCGTGAGCATGGGACAAAATATACGCAAAACAAATATCATTATCATACAATTCAATCCATAAAAATAGGTTCCTTTTTGCAATGTGTAACAATCACAAGAATTTCATGAACTTGATTTCCTCTACATTTATTACATTTCCATAATGCTTCTCGAAAATAGTACTACATTTATGAATTAAAAAAACCCGCGTTACATTAGTCCACGCATAAAAATCAAACACTTTAGGTACAAGTGAACAAATCAAGAGGATTGCAAAAGATTTCAGGATATATTTGCTTTGTAAAACAAATTTTTACTACTAAGAATGCATCATTATGCATTCTTAGTAGTAAAAATTTGTTTTCATCGTATTTAAACATATGCCTTTCTTCCAGGAGCATTTGGCTCTATTTGACTTACACGTTTTTTGGCGTAAAAAATAATTCAACATACGATATTTATCTTTTATTACGGTTTTATGTCCAAAATATATTTGAAGAGCATTTCGTTGGCATAAAAAAAAGATTGTAGTTAAAGCGACTGGCTATCCCGTGTTAGGTAACGTGAGTGCACCGCAAGATTATGAGTGTGATTCGGTGGGCGTGCACGGGTGTGTAATGGAAGATATAACAACAAATAATATATTTTCACTTCGTATAACAACATTTGATATAATTTCTAAGGATATAATCACTCACTGTATATAATCAACAAAAGGTATAACAACAAAAGGCATAATTTCAATGTGTATAATGAACCTTCAGTATATCAAACATTAAATATAATGATTAAGTGACATAATGACATAAGTACAGCCAGTATAATGTAATTATTATTATTATATTATTTAGTACACAGGAAAAAGCACAGAGCTTATTTCTTTCAGAAATTTCTTGCTGCAGACTTAAATACAATGTATCAAATAATATAACACAATATTTCGTTTTATGAATAGTTGAAGGGCCCTATATTATGTTGCTAAGAATTTTTATATTTCATTAAATGTACAATCGCAAGATATAATTGTTTTTGTAAAGCTTTGTGTGTTTTTTGAGTGTTTTTGAGTTACAAAGTATATTTATTAAGACTTTAGGCAAAATATTCAATTGTATATACTCACCTAACCTAAACCCACAGGAGGAGGTCGAACCAACAAACAAACAAATTCGGTTTGTTCACGATTGCACCTAAATACCACTGGAATTACATTAATAATACATTATACTCAGTGATGTAATATCTGAAGTGTTTATATAAAATGAACATTATGCCATCAGTACATTAGACTGAAAGTTGTTATATCAATCGTCTATTGTACCCAGTGACCTTTATATAATGCAAGAACATGTCAAATGTCGTATACCATAAATTAATTATATCTGTTGAGCGATATATCGACTAAAAATATGTCATTTGTTGTCATATATTACGAACCGCACCCGTGCGTATATTAATAAATAAATAATAAAAATTAAATAAAATACTTCGGATGCAAAAAAATATTGAATTATTAATTACGTTTGTTTCGAATACTACTTGTAGATTTCCGAATTGAAAGGTTTAAAGCTAATTTGAACAATTTTTTTTTTCAATGCAATTAAGCCTTAATATTTTTACGAGGCGGCGGTAAGGTCAACTACATGAGACTATCCGGTGTAAAAAAGCACCTTTACTGAACAAATTAAAATGTTTATGAAAACCTCCTTGTAATTATGTATCTCATAATTAAAAGCATATAAGCCCTAGCATACACGGTGCGCGACTACACAGGTTCTACGTTATTACACGTTTTTTACACTTTTTACGCGGTCGACAATATTGTTAATTTTGTAATAAATGAACATCACTTCCTATTTTGGCAGAATTATTTACATAACGCGATCTAGAATTTCCTGTACAATGTTGTGATTTCGTCAAAAGTTGTTAGCTACTAAATACGCAGAAAGGCGATCAGCATTATCAAATTAAATATTATAAAAATATTATAAAAACGCTCTTCTTCATATTATATTTATCACTATTATAATACTGCATGCATTAATTTAAACCTTAGCGTAATTTTAATAAAACTTACATAGGCAGTTTACGAGACAGCATTTTGTAACATAGTTCAATCGACCAATCATAGTCCGGCTACGGGAAGCTTTACTAAGAGACTAAACAACTTACATTGCCGATAGAGTGCGTAACATGAAGAAACTAGATACGAGCCAAAAACAGGTCTCGCGTCCTGCGGAGAATTCTCACGCAGTGTTGTAAAAAAAGATCGCCTCTACCTATGGAAAAAGTACTCCCTGCAAACCACGTGTAGGGAGTAGTTTTATCACATAAAGAGCACAAACGTATGTCTGGCGCAAATATACTCGCCAAGAAGTTCAACCGTGTAGACGGGTCTTTAACAGTCGATACAACCTCAAATGGCTTTGGTTGAGTCCGCATAACAGTGAAACTGTTGAATCAGTCATTTTGTAAAAAAAGTTTATAGTAAAATTGAGGATATTTTACCTTTCCTACAAATTTTCATGATAGAAATAAAACACAAACTTGCCTTGAAATTTTACAGAAAACCCGCTGTATTGAATAGGTATTTTACATATACCAATTATTATTTTTTTGTATCAACTGAACTAAATAGAACACGTATATACGATATATATTTCAAATGGCTTTAAAGTTAATTCCACTCGTAAAAAAATAAGTTCTGAAAGAAAGCCAATGTCCCTACCGCTCGACCCGCGCAACAGAACCGTTCAGTACGGAAAAAACTTTAATTCGAGCTGAGGCAGTATCGACTGTTAATGACAAGTTACAATTTAGCCCTTCACAAAGTTTCTAACATTTTTATACTAACAACACAAACAATACAGAGAATGATGACGACGTATTTTGTATAATTATTAATTTCGTATGTCTAGGTAATCAATTCCATACAAAAAAGAGCTCAGTAATTAACTCGCTGTGGTCAACATTACTTGTCGTAGTTGCTAGAATCTATATTTGTCTCGTCAGGTACGTGTATATTATGAAAATTTTCCACTACCAGTACTTTGTTTTGAATTGTTTCTTCCACTACTTCGTCGTGTACATTGCTGTTGTTGGTTTTAAATAAGTAAATAATGCATACCGGTGACGTCATCAAAAATTTGCCTTGTATTACAAAGCCAGCAGCATTTTTAGTCTTGCAGTTAGGTCGGGATAGTGACTATGCCTTAACAAGCCGCTAAGGTTATAATACTACGTACAAACTTAATTCCTGTAACTCAGGGATGCATGTATAACCCAATAAATGTAGCTTATTAGACAAAGGTCTACTCAATTATCACCCAGCTGTCCCAGTATTTCTAAGACGACCTTGTACTACAAAAACGACTGATTAACTAAATACAACTTTTATGACGTACCGCACTGTACCAACAACCAAATCATCCACTACAGAAATTATTCGGTACAAAGCTTGTCTGTTATAAGACTGGTAGTAACCAGTTGTTATTTTAATACTTCGACGTTGATTCTTCCTTTGGGGCTTAAACAGCTATAGCAACATACCCTGTGAGCGTTTCAAAGTTTAACTCAAAATATATTTTCACAAGCATGTAAAATTACACTTGAAATCATGATCAAGAACCTGTCTGTGTTTCTATACTGTGTTCGTTTCTTGTAAGAGAAGCTTGATCAGTGTCGCTGTGGGAATCTGCCTCCGCTGTGGAAAAACATCATAATATCATTAAAATTTTTCAGTTTCATATCATTTAACTTATTATGTAGTACCTGTTTTGTCCAACAAAATGTATTCAAATCGATGATCTAAAATTCCGATGATTATGACATTTCAGCCGATAGACACTTAACACGGGCTTTACAAAAGGTGTAACGATTAAGTACGAGTGTATAAGAAAACACTTACAATGAGGATTAGTATCTAGAGCCAACACAGCCATGGGCATGTCATCTAGTACACCAGACCACCTCGCAGCCAGCACCCTGGAACCTCGGTGACCTCTAACCACCACTGTGGGAACCACGCTTGGTGATATTAGTGATGAACCCCCATACATTGATACTCCAACGTTTCTTCGAGTTATTGTACTAAAAGAATATAAATAGGTTATTGTGCTATATAAACACTAATTACATAGTCTTACACAATGTTGCATTGTCATATTAATAGGTAGGTACATTTAATTCTTCACTAATCAACAACATCATAAACACACAAGAAATGCTTACCTTCGTTCAGGCTCAAGGCGAGGCCTCTTTTTCTTGCACATCACTACAAGTGACACGCACAATGTAGTTAAAATAGTCACTAATATCAGAGATAAAGCAGCTCCAAATAAAAGAGCCACGCTATTGTTCGTTGGTGGCTGGGATTGAGGCGGCGTTGGTGTCATCGTTTGGAGAGATCCTGGTAATAATAAAGAAGAAGCCAAATATGGATGAGGTATGTTTATGAGTACTGCAGGTACAGCATGTATAATGATGTCATTTTGAATCTACCTGCATTTGAATCCTTGTGTACTGTAATTTACAAGTTACAAACACAGAAGCTACATATTATTATTATCCTTCTGTACGTTCCACATTTTTTTATTTTTAGTCAAAATACTTTAAAAAATATTAAAAACAGCAGAAACATTAACAAATTAAAGAAAAAGCATCAAGGACTGAATGGGTTGTCCTCGCATACCAATACCGATATGAATCGTGCTCTCAAATCAGAGATCAAAAACTAAATATCACCATGTAATTTAGTTTATCCGTGGCTCTACTTACCAGGTCTATCAAGATCCTCGGCATTCCGAATGGAAACACTAGACAGCACTGCAGGTCTACGTGACTTCCCACGCGAAGTCTCTGAGTACACGAGCAACGTATACTGTCCCGGATTTAAATCGTTTAGATTGAAATGCGGTACATCGTTACTGTCCCTGTATGATGGTTTGAAAAGACCTCGCTCCAATGCACCCTGCAATATTAAGGATGGATGAACTAAGAGTCCCAGACCGAATCGGTGAATATAAAAACCGGGAAGATAACAACAATAAAGTACAAGATGATCTATTAATAGGCTAAAAAATACGAAAAATACTCGCTTATCTCATTGAATTAATCATGAACTTCGTGGTATTTGATGGCCTGCACCGTTCAGTGAGACTAGATAGTACCATACTGAAATTTGACACTAAGAGTACTAGAGTAGCTCAAAAACATGTAAAAACTAGACTAGTACAGAAAACCGAATCCGAAGTTAATTTTCAGACAACCCAAACATTTTGAAGTATACTTTAAGCTTGACATTGTTTAAATTGAAATAAATTGTAAGTCGTTATGAGAGTATGATCTGAAATGTCATTCTTTCCTTTCTAATATTTCGTATCAACAAATTTATTAAGCAAAACACAGGTTTGTTAAGAAATAATCATGCAATTTTATTCTTTCAATACTTTTTTTTTCATGCGGTCAGTAGAGCTTTAAGAGCGGCCATTACAGAACAATAATATCGTTTCAAACTAAACGTCCATTTCATTATATTTTATGTTTAAAACATTGTTTTATCTGTTCTCATTTGTATTCAAATGCAAGCTTCTAGAACATTCGATATGCTCGAGAATATTCCAAAGTTCAACTTCTTTACCAAGCACGGCACACCTCACCGCGCTCACCTGATCGTTCAGCGTTGATATTTCATTGTCGACGTCCAGGGGCTGTGATGTCCGTACCTCCAGGGCTTCGAGAAGGAACCGCTGGGGAAGACCACCGTCGTGGCCTGGTTCGCAGTGTAAGATCCTGTTGCTGATCTCACAGTTGCTTGGAGGATCTGGTAGAGCTGGTAAGAATTTAGGAACCATTAATATAACAATAAAACAATATAATGTATTTGACTCTTTACTATATTGTGTTTGGTATAGCAGATTCATTTCAATAACATGACTATTAATTCATCATCATCAGCCTATCGCAGTCCATCTGCTGCCAACAGCCTTTTGCAGATCATCACTCCATCTAGAAGGCGTCCGACACTACGTTTGCCGTGATCTCCACTCAAGAACTCGTTTACCCCATCGTTTATCGGTACACGACTTATGGATTTTTATTTGTGATAGTATATTTTATTTGCCAATATTATAAAAACGGTATGGTGTATAGTGTAGGAGTTTAGTAAATATTTAGATGCATCAGAAACATGCAATTTTACTTCAATAAAAAAAGTGTACATAACTTCCCAAACCCTTAAGCCTATAATTATAATTGTATGAAACTTCGCCTTTCTTGTTTAAGATATATAAATCCAATTAGCTTTCATAATACAAGAGAGTCGCCACATTAATTAATGTGAAATTAGCTTGAGCCGATCAGATAAAGCTTTATATCTATACAATAAGAACGAAAAAGATGTTACGCGTTTTGCTTCTGCTTGATCCGTCGTCAAAGCTAAAGGCACAACGTCTTTATGGCTCTTATTACGTGGAAAGCTTTTTCAGACAGGCTTATAATGCTACTCCGTGTCGGTAAGTATGATGAGTCCTTAATACATAAAAATTTAGAGTTGAATTTTCAACATTGGCCCTTTTATACGAAATCAATTTGAAGTTTGCTTCTACAAAATTTCCTCCGTAGCCGTACGGTTGCTGGATTGGCACACAGAGGTCCCGAGTTTAATTCACGAGCCGGGGGATTTATTTGTATAGGCTACATTTATTTCTCTCGTGAGTTTGGGCGTAATTTGTGATTGCCCATGTGTGTGTCCATGGCACCCGCGACACAAGGTTGCGCTAGTCCGGTGTGAGCGTTATTATTATTGTATTGTTATACATACATCTGTTAACCACTCGTGTTCAGGATTATGATGACATGTGGTGTGGCCTACATAGGATGGTAAGCCAAGGAAATCCTAAACTACGCTTTGACAATCAGTAACATTACTGTTGTTCGTATTATTTGCGATAAGTATTTGGCCACATTTGGGTTTATTATCTTACAAAAAGTTGTTTCGCAGTCTTCATAAGCACAAGTCCATTTTACTAAAGCTACGGCTTCATTTGTTTTTCCTAACGATCATCCAGTTAGGTAATAGGCGATTAACCGAGACCTAGCATTCTGGAACGATACAATTTTGCTCGACCTCGTTGGAATGACATAACTTCTGGATAATAGGGGAAAGCGATCAAATTGGTACGGCAATGACATCGTTAGTGAGAAATAACGATTTTCGTACATTTTTTTCATAGTCCTCATTTCTCTTTTGAAGTGTTGGCGTAATAAGCTGACGTGATGGCTGATCAGCAATATACGAGTATTGTTGCCAAACTAAAATGGTAAGGCTTAGCAAATATGGCTTTTTATGATCTTCAAACGGGCAAACAGGCTGTTTAGCCGATGAAAAGCTGTACTACTAAGATAGTACTCTTTAAATATCACAAAAGCAGTGCCAGTGGGACATAAGAAGGTCTTATGTCCCACATAGGAAACTTAAGGAAGTTTCCTATGCCTTTAATAGTATCACAATTTTGTTTGCCCAAAAATCTCTTTCACTATACTTTTTTTGCCTTTGCTATCAGTAAGTATTGAGCTAATTTGGCGTTTGACTATTTTACACTTTGTCGGAGTTTCAGTACCTAAAAGACATGAACGAGGCAAACCCTGAAGACGACGTCGTAATGACCAAAAGCTAAAACGAAGAAGACGAACGAGATACTTAAAAGTGTTAAGTTTTTTGTGACTCATTGACTACGAATGAAACATTTTGTTCTTAGTTGCAGTTACAGGACATACCAGCAGGAGTAATCCTGAATAAGCACGGCTCGCGCTGGTTGCCGATGTCATTGCTGGCCCAGCACGCCAGCCAACCAAGATCGTCTCCAGCATCAGATGGAAGTCCATGGACAACGGAACTACTTGCTCCTATTACTGTGACGTTTGATGCTGGTATCTATAACAATAGAATTATTATTCTATTATTGTTAGAACCCATTCTTTTTTTTTCTTTTGGCAAACATCCCTTGTTTTGGAAATAATAAAACTACCAATATTTACAAATTAAAAAAAATATTTTCAGGTTCGTAATGGGCTACGAAATGCTTTATTATGCAATAATCCTTACACATTAACGGGAAAGATCCCGCTTGAAAAAGGCCTTCTCAAAGAGAATATATGACATACATCCTTTGATCCCTGGCACCCTTCACTTTCGCCAGCTTGTCAAAAACAATCTGCCAAAAACAACTGAAAACTTACAGGTAAAACATCTCTCGTGCCATTGTAAGTCCAATAGAACCTCAACGGGCCAGTTTCCCGCGTAGATGGGGCAGTAACGGAACATCGAGCCCTGACTTCTCCTCCAGGGGTCCCTGCTAGTTGCTGCACGACGCTGCCCGCTGAGCATTCTGGTCGAGCTGTAGGGGACACACTTTCTATAGATTGATGATAAGTATTTGAATCTTCGTTTGATCTGAAGGCATCGTCAGGAAAAGAAGAAAATTTATTCGTTTGAATAGGGGAGCGGTGGTTGCCTAGCAAAAGAACGGTTGCTTATAAAATTGAATGGGTGACGGTTCAAAACCGTTTATAAATATACGTTTAGTAACAATATTTATTGCTAACGGTGAACGAAGATATCGGGATGAGATCTGCACGTCGAAGAAGGTTTACTACGTTGTCTTTTCCGGTTATCGAGAGCCACTCAACGTTCACAAATGTGCAAAACTTATAAACGAATATCGTAGGTGTATGCCCACAGGGTTTGGAATCGTTGATCTCTGAGTTGAGAAGCAATACTTCTTGCACTAGATTACCACCGCTCATAATTATAACATTACTAAAACTGTCCATGTATTTTATTAACCCTTATTAATAACTTGATCCATAAGTGCTGAACTTTAAAACTTTAATCCCGAATACTTACACAAAACATTCAAAGTAAGGGGTTCACTAAGTCCACTGCCCTCTGAGCTTCTTGCCCGGCATTTGTACCGAGCAGAATGATGTCTTCTGAGACCTCGCAAAATCAGCCTATTTCCTTCTACAGCTATACCTCCTATTGGATCATCCCAGATTTGATGACCCTGTTGACAAAATAATAGTAATTCATTTTGTGTTTTTAATGTTTCTAAAGGATATTTAAATACAATCTTCTGCTTACAATCCTTTGCTGAATTTACTTTTAAATCAAAAGTTAATATATTATTGTTGATACGAGGACCGAACAACACACAAATATATATATATATTTTTGTTGTATATGTATCTGTCTGTATGCTTAACCCCCTAGAGCAGCTGAGCTTCTTGTAAAAGAATTCGTCCAGGGAAGTACTGCCATCTTACCTATGTCTGCCGCCGTTAATCTGAGCGTTACTGCGTTCCAGTTCAGAAAAATAAGGGTGTTGGTAAAATTACAAGCACAGGACTAATCGACTTATGTCTCAGGGTGACAGGCACAGTGGCAGTGCCCCTAAGATCGTAGCAATTTAACGCTTTGAGTGGCACTTCAACTGCTATGAACAGATGTGTCGCTTACCACCAGGCGCACAATAAAAAAATTGTCAATAATGATAAGAAACTAGTGGAGTATTTTTACAAAAATATACATTTATGAAGATAATAAAAACATCATGATATTCCTTATAAATAAATAAATGTTAACTGATTAGACTATCTGAGAAACCCAAGGGCAACTACCTTGCCCAATGCATTAGCATAGCCATATAAAGGGGGAACGCTGCCAGCATCTTGGGCACCTTGCCGCGGGGACCCAATTTTATTCATATAAATTAATCCTAACTTTAGTTTCTAGTTTTTAATATTTTATTGTACCTTTCCTTCGTATTTTGACGTAGTATCTAATAAATAATTGCATTTGTAATAATTCTGCCCTTGGAACGAAAAAAAACACAACTGCTGTGTAAAGGACCTACGCGTAGCGCCTTTTTTGTTACGAGGGCAGAGTTATAGTTATTTGTTCTTCCATACCGGTTGTAAAAAAACTTACTGAACCCTTCATAACTAGGGCAACTACCCTTATATTTCTATAGTATTCCGTAATGAGTATTTAATTACGCATATTCAATTTTTCATCCCACAAATAAGGCCGTAATAGCGCATTATTAATTTGGCGTACAAATTAGTGTGCACGTGGTTCAACGGCGTTCGCCGTAACTATAACGGCGGGTGACCGCAATTTTGCGACATCGATATAAGCGGATATAGTAGATTTATTAGTAAATTAGTTAAGTTATCTGCGGTAAATTTTTATTAACATTATTAATATAGTTATACATACACAGAATAGTAGTATAATAAATAATACACACACTCATAGTCCCGCACTAGGGAAACCATGTATCACGGGTGCCATGGATGTGTATCCATACACAGACCACACAAAGTACACCCCGAGACTGGTAATCGAACCCGGGACCTCTGCGTACCACACTAGAATGGTATTCGTAATGGTTCGGCCGCGGAGGCAATTTTTTTTTTCAAAAACACTAATATTTTTAGCATTGCCATTTTGTTTTGTAACGACTTTTTAGCCGTAACGCCATCCATGAGAAATCTTAAGTATTTCGTCACCCAATTAGAAGATACTTTTACAGCTACCAGCCCTGACTAGATATGTCGCTATTCATTGTATTTAAATTTTTATTGAATTGATATTCAATTATTTTTTACATGAAATTACTCCACTAATTCGTTATGATTATTAATATAAACACTCAGAAAAAAATTCTTCGATCCGGCCGGATTCGAACCGACGTCCTCTAGCTTACCGTGCCAAACGCTGTACCAACTAAGCCACGGAACGAATCAGCGGACCTCACAAATTCTTCTATGTGTTTGTTGTCGTGTCTCTCGATCGAGACCGAAGCAATTTTTTCTGAGTGTTCGATCTCTAATAGATAAGCATTTTAATCTGATTGGTTATATAGTTTTCGTTAACAATAGTATGTTAACTATAACTAAATTGCCTCCGTGGCGGAACGGTCACCATGCAGGTCTACATTTATTTATTTCGTGAGTTTTGGTGTAAGTTGTGGTTGTCTATGCGTGTGTCCATAGTACCCGCGAAACAGGGTTTCCCTAGTGCGGGACTATGGTTATGTGCGTTATTTATTAATTTATTATTATTCACTATGTCACATCACGTAACTTTGCAAGTTACAGTTCGTGGATCTTTTACAACACTCCGTAATTTACAACACGCCATTTAATAGTCTGAATGTTCAATATTTATGTCAAACAATATCTATTTATATCTATTTTGATCATTGTATATCAAAATATAATGTATGTACACAATTTACGACGTAAAGTCACTTTTTTTACAAACTTAAAACGAAAAAATACATAACAAACTTATTCAAAATTTTGTAGACACATCAAATCTGTCTGGCACAATATTTTAATAATAAAAAACTTTCTTTTTGCGTTTAATTCAAAATTGCCATTATTTGTATAAAGCGAATTTTCTATTAACAACCGTTTTATACTATTGGTAAATTCTTTATCTGGTAACTCGTGAATTGAGAATGGCATTTCGCAAAAAGTTGCGACGAAAAAGTCGAAATATTTATTTATAACTCTTGTCTAATTATATGGTATTGTGTTAAATAAATAGATATTACAAAAAAGCACAAACTCAAAAATCTGAAACTATCCAATGCGAACTAAAAACCAGCATTATAAATACCGCATTCTAGACAAAGCCAATATTCCAGGTATTCAGAGCACGAGGAACACAATAGCAGGTAAGTAATTTTTGTTCTTGTTTGCCAGAAATAAAGCCTTGATCATCAAACATCGGAACAGGAAGAGTATATCTGCCTATATACCTTCCTCTGTAATCCCGTAATTATTTTATTGTATTTTGTTCTGTATTTTAGATACGTAACTATACTAAGTGTCATTTAGAATGTCAACAGTGATCATTCACCCCTCTCTACCACTATACGCTATTCGTGAAAACGATACTCTCCATTGTTTCCAGTAACGTTCGAAAGTATTACCGTAAGCATGTTATCGTAGTAAAGATCACCTTGACGCACAGATGATCGCAGATGTTGTAAACTACCTTAGGAACGGTAATGTATTCTGAAGAAAAGTTTTGTGGTGATTTTCGCGTTTTATTTTTAATCATTTCGAGATTTCAGAGGGGGTCGCTGTATTTTTTTTTTTAATTTTTCTGCCGGTACTACCCCACTACAGGGTAAAGACCCTTTCTCCACTGAAACGTCAACGATTTGTGATTCGGAGTTCAGTATATAGTTTCGTACGCGGTTTCTCAGACCGTTTCACTCCCAACACATTGGACTCCATGCCTTTCTGTATATGTATTACTTGAAATTTAAGGAAATATAGTCTTAAATCTATCCATTCCTGCATACATGTGGACACCGTCCCGAAATCTTTTAAAGTATGGTCAAATAAATCTTAATAATTTTACGTGCAAAATTTGAAAGCCAAACTTACCTCTTTATAAAAAGTAAAATTAGTCGCTGGAGGATAGGCGTCAGCTGAGCACAGCAACTCAGCGTTTTCATCTTCCCGCAGAAGCCGAGGCTCTTTGGGCTCGATCAGGGATATTTGGGCCATTGGAGGATCTATAGAAAATGAACTTGGTTAATGAACCTTTTGTAAATGAAGTCTAAGATTTATCGATGACATTGCCTTCAGAGTTATGGACACATTAATAATAATAATACGGCAGGTAACCACATCAATTATCTGATGTCAAACAAGAGAATTCCCTGTGCTTCACTTCAGGGCATTTCCTATAAAACCCAGATCAGAATCGATGTAGAAAAGTTCATTTCTCAAATTGGTACTACCGGGAATCGAACCCAGGATCTCACCGTCCATCGTCTACAGCGCAACATGTTGGACGACGAGGTAGTTATGGTATATGGAGTAACAATTTTGTTACTTGCAAAATGTTGTGCGAAGTAATTACCCTAAACACGTATTACAAGTTTTACGATTCCTAACAGCATAGAATAGGAAAGAATAAAATAATTTATTTCATATTAGCAATGTCACCATATTACAATTAAAAAACAATCTCAAGGGATAATATGATCGTCACTAATGCGAACAATAATAATATATATAAAATAAAGTAGTATAACTACTGCTTGTCCAAATACAATGAAATGAAGTAATACAAAATTACAATTGTTTCAAAAGAAACTCATCGACACTGTAGAATTAATTAATTATCCAATAAAATTAGTTTTAGTCGGGTATTAAACGTTTTGTCGTTTGTAACACTTTTCAGGTATGTTCGTAGAATCGGGGACCTATTACCCGCGGATTTCTCATTGCGAGTTCGGAAAGGTAACCAACGGATTTTAGTTTTCCCCCGTTTTGCAACGCTCGGCCTCCGCCCGTAAGTCGCTCATAAGTGCTCAAGTTTTGACGCGCAGCTCCATCTCCATCATCTATTATCATCATCATCAACTTATTATGCGTCACTCTATTTAGCATGAGTCCTCCTCTAACGAAAGTGTTTAGGCCATATTTTTCAGACACTGGCCTAATACGGGTTGTAAGCCTTCTCACTTCACAGTTAGAGATAGTAATTTTACTAGGCATTGACGAACGTAACGTAAGTAAGTCCTAAGTAACTACCTGCCGTCATACTCTTACATATTATCCCACTGCACATCGGTTTCTATATTCAAAACAGAAAAAGGCATTTTTTTATAATATCAAGCTACATTCCTGTCCATAACAATTGCAGTGCCACTCAGAGCTTTAAATCGCAAAGATCTGAGTGGCACTGCGCCCGACACCGTAACTTCACAAGTCCTACGTGCCTGTAATGTCACCAGCACCCTTACCCTCCGAAACCGGAACACAGTAGGCAACTACTGCTTAGCGGCAGAAATACGTAAGGTGGCAGTACTTCCCTGGACGAACTCTTTCACAAGGAGCTCTGGTACTACTAAAACATAAACAACAGCAACTTAGACATAGGATTACGTAATTACTAGCCACGATGACCAAGTGAAATAAGAGCATTTGAAAGACAATTCTTATTATTCTTACGGGTAGTTTAATATTTTACAACAACACCGAGCCTAGCCGAAACTTCGAATTTGCATAGACTCTTTGCTTTTCATACCTTTAAAATGAAGTACCTTTGCATAATTATTATTCAACCGGTGACCTGAAAACTTATTTCTATCACCCTGTATATAAACTGGTATACACTCTGAATATTTACGTCGTTCCGCTTAGCGTCCACGGTGCAATTATAACGTTGTTTCAGTTTGTTTTACGAAGTTCCACAAGCGGCGTTTTGTTTACACAACCGCCATACTAACAGTTAACTCTTCTGTCATCATTATGAAATGTAGGAACGATGTTAGAATACTTCTAGTTCACGCGACTCACTTAGAGATGAACCTAATTAGTATTCGTTTTTATTAATACATATTCTGTTATTGTAAGTATTTTGTATATGTATAGTATATTTGTATGTATGTAAGTGTATATATTATATTATTAAGTAAGGTATTAGGTTAGTTTGTTATATATATAATTATGAATTTGTTTCATTTATTTTAATATAACCGTAATATTCTGTTTATTTACCGCGTTCGTGAATTTCGTTTTTCTCAGAGGTTGACTGGTAGAGAATGCTTTTAGCATTAAGTCCGCCTTTTGTACCCTTTGTATTGTGGTCAATAAAGTTTAATAAATAAATAAATAAATAAATAAATAAATAAATAAAATAAATTAATCACTTTATAAACTTCAAATAATATTCATAGGATGACCAAATATTGGTATTATTGGCTCAAAATTTAGTTTGACACAAAACAATTTTGAAATCTAAAGAAACAGTCGCCCTGGGACACAAAGTTGACAAGTTTCATGTGCCTATACTTTCACCAACACCCTTAGCACTCTAAACCAGAACACAGTAATGCTCGCATTATTGCTTGGCTGCGGAAAGAGTTATCGTGACAGTGACATTAAAAGTATTTCTTATTTATATATATTCATAAAATATCACAGTATAAATATCGACAATTTCAGTATGGCAACGAATCGGAATAAAGATGTGCTAAAAAGTAGTCATTGAAGATAACAACGCTGATGTAAGTGCAGGAAAAAAATACAAGATCATTGTTAAGTAGAGTGTCTTAGTTTCCACCTATCTTTCTCTGGGAGACATCAATAATCTGTGGTTCCCAGCAGACAGGATAAAAGTGCGGAAGAAAACGTGAAACTACACACAACGAGATCAGGGTAAAACAGGTCTCGGAAACTTAAAAAAACAAAACAGCTACCAGAGTCGTCCAGTAAGGCGAAAACATCAGTGCCAAGTGATCCAAAACTATGATTTATGTTCGTGCTTTAACGTTTCATCTCTTAGAACTGTTGACAATATATTATAGCTCACATGAGATAGGGAAGACGTCTTGCCGTGTGCCAACTTCCCGAGTTTTAATATAATCGCAAAGCCGAGTTTCGCTACATTTTAGTGTTATTGTTGAATTTACCTTACAAATAATAAACAACATTATCATAGAAATATTAATAAGACGACAAGTCTTACTTATCCTTAGAAAGCGATGGTTCGTTATGACGCCTACCTTTCTATAAATAAATACAACTCGTTGAATTGGTACAAGATGAGAAGTGTTAGAAAATACGTTGGCCTGAAAAATTTGCCCAATGACGACAGGCGTATTTTTTTTTTTTTTTTTTTTTTTTTTATTGAGGAACAAACAGTTTTTTACAATGATGAATTATAGACAACATTAACTTATTACTAAACCTATAGTTCCCTGTACTAATACATAGGTAAACAAGTTTGAGTTTCATTAAATACGAGCAATGCTCGGTAAATGTATTTTAGTTGACAAAATTGTATGAAAGTTGAACATAAAACAACTAATAACGATAACACAAATTCGCTCTTAAATATTCAATTTGCTAAAGTCGTCACAAAATAATAGATCATATTTGACACATGTCATCGCAACGTAAATAGTGATGTGAACTGCAATATCGGTAACCAGTTTAAACGATTCTCACGAGAAATCGATTAAAAATTTTAGGAGTTTGTAATCGTTTAGGTTATTTTTCTGTTCATTGCTTTTCAGTTCTAGATATATCAATCAACATTTATTTAAACGTTATACAGTTTAATAGAAATAATAAGTAAGTATTTTAAGTGAGCACAACGGCAACCTGTACTTGTTGTTGTATTGTAGTTATACATTAGCATAGTTCACGAGGATAACCTGTACGTAAATAACAAAATTCTGAAGTAAAACAAAAGACCTCCTTATTGGAATTTTTTATTTATCAACGTCATCGGAAGATGAACCAAAACCATCTGTTGAGCTAGTTTCACCAGTCCATATAATTAACTCGTTTTCAATTAAATTATCAATATTAACATCTCTGTCAAAATCTTCTTTTATTAGTTTTCTAGTTTTTTCCACCACCTTTCTCCAGTCTTCCTTTGTTACTTTAGTACATGCTTCCTTTAATAAAGTCATCATTTTTTTTGTGGAGAACGGTGGCTTAGTATTATTACGTCCTGCGTAGCCTGTAAAAAAAAAACACTGTTGTAAAATAGTAATGTTCCTTCACAGTGATATTACAAATTCGAAAGTTTATATGTTACCTCTTTACATTTGTACTTTATTAAAATATGCTACTAGTACAAAATAAGTCTTAATATATACGAATTTAAAATAACAGTATTAAATGCAAAAATATTAACCTTTAATTTGAGCCCAAATCAACTCAATAGCATTGTATTGACAGTGGTACGGCGGTGTCCTTATAATTTTATGTCCATGCTCAAGTGCCAATTCATCAATTTCATACCTAAGTTTTGTAGGTCTATGCTCTCGCACTAATCTTAACAATTCCACTTTCAATAGCTCCATGTCAGCTTCGACACCATTCCTCTGTAGCCATGCCACCAAATCAGCCTTTTTATTTGCCTGAGTCGGCGCTCGATCTATTTGAACCGAATGATACGATGCATTGTCCATAATTATTGTACATTGTTCGGGGAGGTTCTGAAGTAAAGTTTTAAACCACTCTTTAAATTTGTTTGCGTCCATTTCTTCGTGATATTCTTTTGTACTTTTTGATTCAAATGCTAGTAAAGCATTATTAACGAAACCTCCCCCGGCTGATCCAGCATGGCAAATTATGAGGCGACCACCTTTTCCCATTGGCACTTTCGAGCTGGATGCTTTAGTGTCGTCGGTCCATGATTGTGGTACTGTGTGGTTTGAGTTCAACCAAGTCTCATCGATAAACACAACATTATCCCAATTTGTAATTTTATTCATTTCTCTCAAAAATGAAACTCTTTGTAATATTAAATCATGTCTTTCCATCATAATATTTCTTTTGTCAGACTTCTTGTATTTAAAACCAATTTTTTTCAAAATTGTAATCAGTGAGGTAGCACTCCCAGTAAATAAGCCAAGCTCTCGAAGTGATACCAACAATTTACTCACAGTAGGGTACTCGTGTCTAGTATAATATGTATAAACATGGTTACGAATAGCGTCTGCATCGAACGTGTCGATACCTGTTACAGGCTTGCTTTTCTTCCTCT